TGTATGGTAGACTGGGACTTTACTTCGGGTCCATGATGGTCACAAGATCACTTAAGGCGGTGATTTGGCTGGTTAACTCTTGGCGTTTAGACACTTTTCGTTGAGTTCTGGCTTTTTCCTTTGCTTTGATAATTTGTTCGCCTGCCTGATATGCTTGTGAGTGACTGGGTTGGTCTGCTGACGACTTGATTTCTTTTTAGACAGTCTTGGTCTCTCCTATTTTCACCTAGCCCCTCTCGGGCTTGTTCAGGACGCTTCTTACCCTCCCGGGTCCGATGACCTGGCCGAAGTTGGAAACCGACTGTCCCTGCCCCGTTATTTAGTGCCCATACACCTTCTTGAGCGACCCTTAAATTTCCTGCATTATCTACTGACAATAAAATCTCGTTGAAGAATTGTAAGGCAGTCGACATTACTTCGTCATTAAGGTGTATCAAGTCTTCAATCAAATTAGTTCCTTGCTCCTGTCGGACAACATCAACATTCTTTCCAGCAATCAATTTTTGAATTCTACAGCCCTCATACCTTGGCGCTGCTTTCCAGCTTTTCAGTCCGGCGTTGTTTGATATCTCTTTACATGCTGATGATAATCTCAAGAAAAGCTTCCAACTTAGATCCATGCAGACAGCAATGCTGCCCGCGACAAGATTTGCTAAGTTTAGTGTGCTCGGATTGTATTGTATCTATGCAAGCATCATGAAACCATCCGCCGCGGGAATCACGCTACATACCAACTTGAGCTTATCGGTGACAACACTGCCTGTCACAGACATGCTGCTTGGCGACCACTTACAGGAAAACGTATGATGAAAGGGAAAATTAAGCCGACACAATGCTCTGGAGAACTTGAAAAGAGTGTAACCTTAGCGTTGTTAGATTAAGTCAAGCTCAGAACCAAGATAAGACCTCACTGTCCCAGTGAAAACAGAAATCCGCATTAAAATGGGCTAGACTTACCAAACTTGGGGATCAACAAGCAGTGCTGTCGCTGAAAACATAGGCTTTTACTGCGTCGCTGCACAGCAAAAGTTGAAGTGTTAACTCGCGGATTTTAATTTCTTTTAAGGGATGCAAACAGCAATCTGACGCACTGTTGGTTTTGCTATAATTTGGATTAGCATGTTTGTTGGTCCTCTCAAGTGGATCGCATCTGAAAATTTTTCCCCGGCCATGGCCTATCTGGACCAGCTCCTACGCTGTATGACCGTGCTATGACCCGTGTGCTTGAAAGGAAGAGGAACCTTTTGGTCCCACCGGTGGAACTCAGAGTAACTGTGATTGGCGGACGCTTCCCTATGGGCAAGCGGTTGCATCTGAAAAATCCGCTTACCTTCGAATATAGGGCAGTGTTTTATGCAGAACTATTTGCTTTTCTCAAGAAGACAGCGATCAGGAAGATCAGGTAAGGTGATATAGTTCAACCAACAACCGACCCTGGTGCTGTCATGTGTTGTGAGATTCATGGAAAAGTCTTACCTTCTTTTCCAACCCTACCAGTTTTCCCTACGTCCAATCGGCGTTGTCATAATAATGGTTTCACGGTTTGAAGCTAATATGGGTGACCCTGAGGTGGGGTGTCCTTTTACCGTTTCTCGACTGCCTACAGGAATGACCGTCAATGGAGCGTCACTGGCCGCCTTCATTTCAAGACTCTGAAACACATGGATGGATGAAGCGTGGTGGAGGAGTAGTGTTCCTCTGGTACATCCTAAAAACATGGACGATACACCCAATAAATGAACTTTACCCCAGAAAGCTGCATCTCATCCGTCTACAGCGACGTCACATGTGTGGCAGTCGCCACCAAAAGCGAAAAGGTTGCGCCAGAAGTGCTCTCAGTGCGGTGAACTGCGTTTATAACTGTTCGGGCATTAGTACTCGTGATTGTTAACTAAGTTCGCCGCACGCGATGACTCAGGGCTGCTCTAGCCGTTCATACATCTTAAAGTTCTTACCCTAGTTATGACTGAGAAAACAGACAGTCAGCAACTAGGTTAAAGCTACATTTGAAGTGTCATTTAGAATCAGGAGAAACCATGCTTAAGTAAGACACAAAGCGAATAACCTATCATGGTGTACAAAAAAGACGCGGGAGGTCAAATTTATCAAATTTCTACGTTCGTACTTTAGGATTTGTCCTGGTGCGAACTTGACAGACGCAAAGACCATTCACTAATTATTCGAAGTTGTTATACAACCACGAATACGAGACCAAGGTAGAACACGATAGCGTAGTCGGATGGAATAGTATATTTGGATGGTTATGCCAAAATACCGATGCGTTCCAACTAACTGGCTAGAGAGTCGAATACGAGCAATGCAACGTAACACGACAGCGTGCCAAATGGCGAGGATGCTTGACCGGGTGCCTTCAGCTTAGCGAGTCCAGTTAAACTATCAAGGTCAGCATCAATGTCGAAAGTCGTCAAACCCTAGGCTATTGATTTTGGGGAAGTGTATGACGCTACAGATCACTCCCCCCCTAGTGGGTTCGTGAGGACCCTAAGACGATACCAGCCGGAAGTAAAAACCCAGTGGTTTCTCCACTGGTAAAACTCTTCCGATGGGCTGACTGCGTGAGGTGGCCCCTGGTTGTCTGAACCTTATTCTAGGGTGTCGTGGCGATTAAATAAATAAAATACAATAAATGAAATTGTACGTCGGTCGCGGTCATCTGTTCCTTTCGACGTTCCGTCCAGTGCTCGTTGCACCTGGAATATAAATAAAAGTCTTTAATACCACGAAAACGTTGCGTAAAAATGGGAATTATTTATATATAAACATATCGAAAAATAAAAATTTACGCTTATCTTCACCGTTTTTTTTAAAATTTCATTACATGGTAAATAAAAATTGATATAAAAAGGCAAAGTGTACGAGGGTTTGTATTGATGTATCGGGTAGCAGTCCGGAGTTGTTTTGGCGTTGAGCCTTCGGTAATCACCGGTTGGACGCCAGTCGTGGCTATCCTTTTGGGAACCATGTGCAATGGCGATGCCCAAGGACTGTTCGACGGTCTGATAATGCCCAGGTCGAGCATGTGGTCGAATTCATTTTTCGCCGTTTGGAGCTTATCGGGGGCTAAACGGCGCGCTTTGGATGCCACAGGTGGACCTGTGGTTGTGACGTGATGCATAACATTGCTGGTTATGCACGGAAGAGTGTGCTTCGGTTGCTGTAACTCTGGATATTTCTCCAGAACTGCCTGGTAGGACGCGTCGCCTGATTGTTTAGTCCTAACGATGGCTAAACTCGGACCTACATAGGTGGTGCCGCCAATAGATAACTTTGTGCTGTTATCTATCAGTCGTCGACGGCGAGCATCTACGAGTAGATCGTAATGGTTTAGCAAATCTATGCCAATGATGGGCATAGAGACGTCTGCCAGGAGGAAATCCAGTGAATAGGTTTGCGTAAACCTAAGTTGAGGTAGGCATACCGTCTCCCGAATGTCGCGATTGCCTTGCCGTTGGCTGCTTGAAGATTGAAGGATGGGTCGAGATGACGCTCCTTTGTCGTTGCTGGAAGAACGCTAACTTCTGCGCCGGTGTCGACGAGGTAGCGGACTTTCGTTTTAACGTCGGTGACGTAGAGCAAACGGCTTTTTCCGCCGGCTACGGTTGCCGTGAGCACGTGCCGGCGTGACCGTTTCCCGAGTTTGTCCTTCTTAAAACGGCATGGTTTACGACATTTTCTGGCTTCATCCCCGTAAGTGTTATGAAACCAGCACCATTCAGGGTTTTCCACCCTGTTGGGTTTCGTTTTAGGGCTACCACGCGACTTGCTGCGATGCGCCAAGGTGCGTTTCCGTGAAGTGCTACGTGATCTAGGACTTCGAGATCGTAGCAACCGTTTCACAGAGTTGCACAACTTGGTCACCTCCGAATCCTGGCGCTCTGTTTTGTCGCAGATAGAATATACGTTGGAGACGGGTCTGCTGGATATCTCCAGTATTTTATCTGCTGAGGCTGCCAGGTCGTCGAGTGGGACTGACTGGAGTGTCACCAACACGGTTTGCACCGGTTGTGGTAGTTTCGAGAGAAATAGTTCTCGGAAGAAACCATCGTCAAATGTTCGTGCACCGATTACTTCTCGCATGCGTGCGAGGACTTCAGTAGCTGAGTGGCTGCCTAGCTCGATGTTACGAAGCAATTCGTCTAGACGTTGGCGATCTGTGAGATCGCTTTTCTTCAAGAGTGCGGCCTTTAGAAGTGCATAAGGGTCACTTACTTCAGGATTAAACATGTTTGCTGTAACATACCTGTTTAATTCTCGCGGTAGTGAACGTATGACAGCAAGAAATCGAGATGAGGATCTGAGACACCCTGTCCTCGAAAATCTGCCTCGGCATACAGAAACCATGTTTCTGCATTGTCTGGCCAATATGGCACGAGTTGGATCGTGTTCGAGTCGGCTTAATACGAATAAGCTTGGGAGTGTGGTCGGACATGAGAAAGTGTAGTAAATGGATATATAAATGTTATCGAAATGAAAACAATAAACAAATATAAAATGGAACAGGCTCACCAATTCAATACTTGTTATTGGTCGGGATATGTGATCACGTCGGGCTCACCAATTTAGGATTTGTCCTGGTGCGAACTTGACAGACGCAAAGACCAATCACTAATTATTCGAACTTGTTATATACCCACGAATACGAGACCAAGGTAGAACACGATAGCGTAGTCGGATGGAATAGTATATTTGGATGGTTATGCCAAAATACCGATGCGTTCCAACTAACTGGCTAGAGAGTCGAATACGAGCAATGCAACGTAACACGACAGCGTGCCAAATGGCGAGGATGCTTGACCGGGTGCCTTCAGCTTAGCGAGTCCAGTTAAACTATCAAGGTCAGCATCAATGTCGAAAGTCGTCAAACCCTAGGCTATTGATTTTGGGGAAGTTTATGACGCTGCAGTACTATCAATGTTAGTTTGTTACTTGCCGCGTTGTACAACTCCAGTTGTGTCATCGAGTGAAATAAATAATGATGAGAAAGTAGCAACCTAAACCACACCAAACCCGAAAATAGATGTGACAGTTCGAAAACTGCCAGTTTGCTTTATTTGCTTTGTGGATATTGGTGGACGTTTTAATTTCAAGGCTAGGTCTCAAGGTTAGTGGAACTATAGAATGAGTGACCCTTGCGCGGACCTTTATAACATTATATGCACTGCTTTTTGTTTTGCTTGACTTGATACTAAAACAAGCCGAGTTTCTGCTGATGTTATTTATGTCGAAATTCGGTATTTCAATGATTTTCGTAACACTAGTTAATAGCTATAAAGTCTCGATTGTTTAAATAATACACAATGTATGCACTAGACGATAGTGGTGCTTGTATTAGGCATGAAGCAGTGATATATTTGCATCGATGGCGAAGAAATGCAGGTCATGCTTAAACGCCATACGAAATGGAGTGATCCCTGGATCCCAGCTAGCATTTACTTTGGGCGCACGAACTAGAACCAATGTTGTAAACCCAGGTTGTAAAATTTAGGCGCTGCGTTAGATTTTAATTCCATTTTGGTCTGTTTGTTAGACATCACACAGTCGGAGAGGGAGAATGCACTCAGAAACCTTGTTCACATCCGTGCAGCAGGCAATGAGCCACATATGTCGTGTGAGGGCTAGTTGTACTACCAGTTCAACTAAGTAGTTTTTATTGCTGCAGATCCTCTGAGACTCCGAGGTGTTATCCACATTTGGTGGTGTTATTGTTTGATCAATGACAGTAAGATTTTATTTGAAGTGAATGCGTTGCTGAACTAACAGTCTTATGTAACCTGTGAAGATTGACTCAAACATAAGGGCTGATCGTTCACTGCTATAAAACATTCTGTTCATTTCTCCCCCCGTTATTTAGACTATCCAGAATGCATTCGAATTCCAGTGTCACTGGTGGTGAGACCTTATGTGTTTACCCTAAAGATGAGTTACTGAGAGCCCGAAGTGAATTTATTTACCGATGGAACAATTTAATGAACAGGAATCCTGTTGCCACTTTAATCAAAACGTATCACTACCAATATCCACCGAATATAATCTTGAAGAATTGCATAAAATATCCATTTGATGATGACCATGAATTGGATATGTGTCCATCTTTCTCAACCCGAAAGGACGTAAAACTTAGTGGATTGATCAAGTCTCATGTAGTTTCCCAAGAACTGTTTAAACAAGCAAACTCTGAGCTATTTACTGACAAAATTTCTGAGGAGAATCTTCACCGTATGTGTTCATTACTCATTGATAGACTCCGTACATCTGAAGAATATCTTCAATCTTTAAATGAGCATCATTGTATTTCAGCGTGGTATTTTATTTGTGATAACTGTGATTTTATTAGCACAAAAGATGTGGATGCATTGAACCACTTAAAGCAAACAGGTCATTTGACATGTAGTAAATATTTACCGTGCTATTCTACGGTTGAAAATAATAATAATAATGATATACCATATGAGTTGCAAGAACCACGTACCCTCTCTAATAAATCTGGCAGGATTTATGGTGGAAGTGTTGGTGATTCAGTTGTATGCTGTCCAACTTGTAATTTGATATTTCTAGATAAGGTAATTCATTTCATCTGGTCAATACTTTTTGTTTGTCTATGTTCACCGAGTTAATGATATTTTTTTGAAAAAATCTAATTCAGCACTTCTAAATAGGCGATGCATTGATTCTTTTACTCAGGTGGACAAACTATTTGATATTTTTTAAATTGACTTGGATCTGATAGCTCACTAAATTGTATGGTCAACAGGATTCTTTTATAAATTGTCAATTTGACATTTTGATCCATATATTGACTTCCTGGCTGTTAGAAGTGGTTGCCTCCCAAGTGTTACCAGTTTAAGCTATGTGATATACACCTTTTAATTACTGGGTCCACTGTATGTAACAACAGTTACTTAAGGAATTTCAGTGTAATGTAATTACTATGTTGTCGTCATCATGGACTGGCATAATTTGGAAGTACATTGGAAACCTGGGAGCACTAGACAGTTTTTTCGTTCTAGTATGGGACGCCTTAGCAAAGCGCATTCGCGACCCCGCTAGGGATCGAACCCAGGACCTTCAGGTTCCGTGGCAATCACATTGCCACTGAGCCACTGGGTCAGAATGCAATGGTCCATATTTCCTACTTTTGTCAGTTCACGATATAGCGCGACCTACATTCAATGTCATCTTAAAGTAACTATCCTCATGTTTAACTTGGTCGACTCCACTGGTGTCGACTTCTCATTGGAACTCCGCGAATCACCTCTCAAAGCTAGTCACCGGTGCTTTCAGTCCATCATGAATTGCAACCTAAAACCAATCAGTAGATCTCCACAAACCTCCAGATGTAATTACTATATGTTGTGCAAGATTCCGCTTGTTTTCTAATTCTGTGTTTCTTAATACTGTTATCTTCCGGATGAACAGGTGCAACAATCTAGAGCATGGAAAATTAGCAAGAGATAGTTTAGCAAATAAAGGTTTCTTGTCAGCGAATCATTTTTAGAAGCTTCACATTCGTATTTATTTTTCCAACAAAAATATTTGCCCATAAATAGTTAATGGGTCAACCCAAGGTCATCAGAAATTGTTCATAGGAATACAGAGTAGTGGTTGGACGGCGAGTACAAAATGACTGCATGATAATCTATAGAATGATAGAACAGGTCAGAACATTAGGATGGTTCTGTTGAAATCAACGATTGAGGAGTAGCTAAAGAGAGTGAAAATAATTTTGATCAATGAAGTCGAATAAATAAACATATAGTAAATAATTTATATTGGGTGATGATTGAAGGTGAGATGAAAATCTGGATCGCTGCCTGATTCGAACCAGTGACCACCGGGTTACGGACCCGGTGCTCTACCGTTAGCTCGGTTGGTAGAGCACCGTGCCGGTAACCCATTGGTCGTTGATTCTAATCTGGCCGTGGTCCAGATTTTCATCTGACCTTCAATCATCACCCAGCATAAATACTAGTCTGCCAAACTATGGCTATCTCAGATAGTCAAATGATAATATAGTAAATAAATCAAGAAAAAATCTTAGGAAGATTATGATCAAGGTTAGATTGGAGATTAGACATATCTCTTTTGAACGCAGATATCAGACGTGAACTGATGAATTACAAAGGCTTAAACTATGTTCGGGTGGCGAATCTGCACTTCTATCGAAATCTTTGATTTGGCTTTCCGAATGACTTTGAAGAAAGTTTCAGGTAGAACAGAGTGACCAGAGTTAAGCAAATACTGAGGAATCGAGCTGTTCGTCGCTTTGGAGTCTCGTTTAGACAACTATATGGGATAGTGTTCGTAGATGCGTTTGCATATAATACACTTTGTGCAGCCTATGTAACCAGCTCCACAGGGGCAGGTTAATTGGTTAACATTCATGGAAGTGACTCAAAATGATAGTTTGTCCTTTATACATCCTCACTCAGTTATTGACTAGATAAAATAATCTGAAGTTGGAAGGAAAATAAGATCTTCAATGCTTCATACAATCGATTCTGGAGTATCTGTGTTGTTGTATCTCTTTTAAATCCGATGTTCATAAATAGTCTTCTTTGGGACAGTTGGGGTACTTTGTATTCACCTTTCATTCATTATCTTTTAGTCCTGTCAACAATCTTTTGATGACTTTGTCTTAACCTTCTATCTATAATCACCTTGTAGCTTTACTGACAATTTTTGATCTTGTATTCACTTATCAGCTGTTGATGGGCAGATTCTAGGCGACCTGCTTGAACCTTAAGCTACCAAATTTGTTCAACGAACATTTTTCATCAAATTCTTTTCTTTCAATTTATTTTAATCATTTAAATATGTCCTTTGAACGTATCATGTACTGTTGCACATTTCCCCACTGTTTTCAACTCTCCATTTCTCGAGTCAGTAACAAAGCAGAGGTAAAAATGTTACGTTATATGGGAATAAACTTTTTGGTGTACAGAAGTACATCATATTTCTGTCCGTCAGGGGATTAGCTTGAGTTGCAGATTTTTGTACCATCTGAATGAACCACCATCACCACCACCAAAATTATGGTAGCATTTCTGTTGATTCTTCATTATGGACTGGATGCCCATCCAGAACCAGCTGGTTATTTCACATTATTACCTTGAATATTGTTATTAACATCATGCAGATGCAATAACCATTTCGTCTGGAAGTGTTGTTCTGGGAGTGAATTTGTTGAAGAATTACAGGCTGAGAATTCCATACTGTCATACATATTGTTTGGAATAAATCGATTGATATTATTACCACATATTTTGTTGGAACTATAAGTGCGAATGTGTAGCTTCTAAGTAGTCTTTTGTTAGGTTTTATTAATCTGGAACATCTTACGAAGCTAACCTTCACACTTATAAACAGCACAAAAAAAATAAAATTCTTATAATTAAAAAGACAGTAAGGGGAATAAAGTAGATATTAAAAGGGTATGCAAATAAAGCAAAGATAGATAAGATGTTCTGAATTTAGACGACTATGAAAAATAAGTTATCTAAACTATTGTTTTAAACTTTCAGTCAAATGACTGAGGATTTTTAACCATTGTTTCCTAGCACCTTGACAACACCGGCCAGGTAGTGTACGTTCCATTTCATATGAGTACATGCGAAACTGGTAGAATTGGCAGGGGGAAAATTTATTTTCAGCACCACACGAGCTCATAATGTTAACCTTAAAGGCATGTAAGAAGTAACAGTAATAAACTTGTGTAGTACTGTAAACAAACTTCTTCGTTCTTCGATTTATAATAATTTGTTAAGTCTAAATAACACATATAGTCCTTATGTTGTTTGGATCAAATTTTAAAGGAATGACCAGTTATAAGGAAGTCATTGAATCAGAATTTCTGTCCAGGTGATATTAAATAACGGGAATTTCTTCTCAAAGTACCTGAAAGTGATTTGTGTGACCGCAGAGCCCATCGGACATCTGCTTGAGGCCTGTCACACGAAGCCTTTTGTGTGTGATTATTTTGATTTTTTGTTGTTATGGGGCCGGATGGTCAAAAAGAAACGATAAATGAACTAACACAGCCGGCACAGCAGGCCGTGGGGCATGGTGGAGTGTGTTAATTTTGGGGCCGACCTTTTCTACCCGCCCCCTTCCACTGGGAAGCAGCATCAGCATGGCACTGCTGGTCATCCAAGGGAAACACCTTACTGCTGTCACACCCCATCCAGCTAGCAGCAGTACGACCTCGTCCTCAGACCCCCATCATAGCGTAGTAAGTTAAACCACAACGACAACTGCTTTTCGTCTAACTACTATCCAATAAACCTTTCTGGTATAGTAGGACCTCGAGGGAAGAAGTGTTCCACCAGCTTAGCTCGTTGGGTCATTGTGATATGCAAGCCCGACCACCACGTCAAGGTAGCAGCTATCGGTCGGCTACCAATAGAGAGTGTAATGGTTGAGTGTGTTTACCACTTCACTTACCTGGGAAGTAGGATCAGACCTAGTGGGTCAGTGGCCGGTGAAATCTCTGCATAGATACAAAAGGCTCGGTTGGCTTTTGCTAACTTACCTGTGGCGCTGCTGTGATATCCGATTGTCTACTAAGGGTCGCGTATACTGCACACCAGTCCGCTCTGTTCTACTGTATGGCTATAAAACATGGCCATTAAAGGTGAAAGACATGAGAAGGCTTCAGGTGTTTGACCACCATTGCCTTCTTAGTATAGGCCGTATTCCGTGTGTCACCACGTGAGTAACGCAGAAGTCAGGTGTAGAGTTTTAGGGAGACGGGGTTAGTCGGTTGACGAGGTTGTGAACCTTTATCGACTGAAATGGTTGGGACACGTGTTATGTATGCCTATTCGCCGTGTGCCTCGTCACACAATGTTGGTCGAAGTAGGTTCAGGCTGGAAAAAGGCCCGTGGTGGCCAGACTAAAACATGGCACCAATGTATGAAGTCTTTGACTGTTGGTTTGAGCCATGTGGGGCGATGCAGACTAGCCGGTTGGGGTTGGTGGGACAAGAGGAACCAGTGGTTGAAGACTCTAGGCGATATGGCTCAGAATCGATGTCAGTGGCGCAGATGTATACACACATTATCCTCATCTTAACGACGCTATACCGAATCTTACCACTTTCTCATTCTTCGTTTCTCTCTTTTCATACTTTATATTCCTTCTGACTGCATTCTCTTATCTTCATTTTGTACATCACTGCCTTTTTACTTGATGTACTGATATGAGGTGGGGCAACTTGGACCGTTACGCAGTAATGGCTGGTCTTAGGTTGATCTAGATGGATGGATGGAAATAACGGGGATATTTCGTATACAAACGAAGCAATAAAATAAATGGGGTGATCGTAGTATTCAATATCAGACGGAAAAATTGCTTGTTTACGAGAAAGTGTTTCATTTATCATTTCCCTATCGTCCTTTAGATGATGGAAAATATTTGTGGCTCAAGAGGATAGTTTTGATGGGGTTTTGTTTCCTGAGCTGGCTTGTATAATCCTGAAGCTTTCTGCATGATCTCCAAATCCTACGATCGTCAAACGCTTCTGTTTGTCCGAAAATGGAAGAATTTTGCTAAGAGGGAGGCC